GGGGCTCATGGTCAGGCCCCAGAGTGGCCACAGAGAGACTCAGCTATGAGTCCAAACTGGAAGTCCATAGCCTGCAAAACCCAGCTATCCCTAGGAAGGCCCTAAACAGTCTTTTGGGTTGAGGTTTAAGAAGATCCTTTCTTTCAGCGGAAAGATTTCACTCTCCTGGCATTAAAATATATCCCACATATTTAGATTTTAGTGAGTGATAGAACTGTGGGGGACCAGTGGCGGCTGAAAAGATAAGAAGTATGAAATATAAATGACCTTTATTTTGAGAATTTGGGGAGAGACACCTCCGATCCCCTGGGGTGCAGCATCTCTCCTCGGGTCAGCGATCTCTCCATGGAACACGTGGAGTGCGGGCATACATGTAGCTTAGGTTAGGGGTGGTGCCTGAGGGGCATTAGGGATGCACAAGTAGCCCATTGGTATTCTTTTGGCACCAGAGGTAAATTCCTACTGGTGGGGGAGATAGGAACTCCTTGGTTCCACCTGAGGCTTTTCCAGCTACAGTGTCCGGCCTGGGCCAAAACTCTTTCAGTGAGAAATCTGAGCCTTCTCTGGGTACATTTGGCATCCTGAAGTTTCTCATGAATGTGAAGCCCTCATGGTTTTTCTTCAGAGTCCAGCTTTGTGGACCTGCAAATAAGAAAATCCCCTATATTCTGGAGAAGTGCCCCATTTTTAAAGCTAGAGACCTAAATTATTTTGCCAGTGCATTTCCAAAAACTTGGAGGCTGTCTCCTGAGGCAGGACTGTCCAACACACTAGACAGTTTTCACGGGGTCAGCGTCGGTCCCTCAAAAGCAGATAGATATCATGAGCCAGGATGCAAGGGATGGCAGGAGAGGACCAAGATCTCGGACAGTGAAGAATGCAGCTCACCACGGATTTAGGGTAGCATAGTACACAGGTCAGAAACTCCAAGGTGGGGCAGGGTCACAGCTCCCGCAGCAGCCTGCGAGTCTCAGGCGACTTCCTCCATTTGTTTTTAGTGCTAAGAGGACAAGACCATGTTTGAGGAGTTTAGAAATTAGACCCCTGGCCCACCAGTGGCCCTCTGGCTAAATAGAATACTGTCACTTAGGAGGATATCTCCTGGGGTCTTCTAAACAATCGAAAGCAGTCTGAGCCTGAAGGCCTTTCCTGGGGTTTTAGTACCCAGATCCCTAGATCTGCCTCTGATAGGTTTCCCTAGGTAGTCTCTAAACACACTGTCTGCTGCGTCTGCTGTTCATATTCCGAAAATGGAAGTGAGCTACTAAATGGAAGTAGATACTAAAGGAGCAAAAAGTTCTTTTTCTAAGAATGGAGGATGTCCATTTGGGAAAACTAAGAAAGTTAGAATGAAAATTAGATCCCCAAATTTGCATTAAAGGCATTATAAAGCACTTTGCTAGCAACAGTCATAGCACAGATATTACTAGACCAGAGGATTCAACCAAGACAACCACCGATGCCTCAGTATCCACTGAAAATTGGAGCCTTTGATGTCACGTGAAGAGTCTCAGGAGCCTCTTTCAGTGGGATGTCTGCTTTGTTGAGTGAGGAGAGGCATAGGAAGACCTTCAGACCTTCAGTCTCTGCGCAGCCAAAATGAACGCAGGTGGCCTCATCCCCCTTTGAGAGAAGGGTCGCCTCACTTCCAGTGGTCTCTGCAGGTGGGGCGCCCCAGGAGGACCTCGCTTACTGCAGCCTTTGCACACTGCCCAGGCCTCCGCAGTAGCAGCTGCCATGGTTTCGTCTTCTCCCTCTTTGTAGGTGGAATCCTGGGGTCTCTCTGAGGAGTCAGGGTTTTATTTCCTGGTGCCAAAGCAATTAACTGGGTCTGTTCTTATGCCTCAGTTGTTCCTCCTGGGCCTTGAGATTTACCCACACTTGGTTCCTGTTGTTGAAAACTCAAATTCTAAATGTTCCTTAATCAGGGTCTGAGGATTCATAGCCTGTTTCTGATGTTTTCTGTGAATGTTTGGGGCAGACTGGCTAATCAAATACATTCCCAATAAAATGCATCCTTCCTGGCAGGTTGCATGTCAGTATAATTCAGAGGATCTCACTGAAGTATCTCAGAAATAAAGCAGGTTTTTCTTCCTTGTCCTCAGTGATTTCTCTATTCTTTCCAGAGTTTATTCATGCATTTTCTCATCCTCTTGATATAGGGGAGTGAAACTCCTGACCTACTGTGTCTGGTATGAGTTCGTGTTCTCTAAAATCAAAGAATGAATTTTAGGAACAATGGAGCTTAAAAATAGAATATATTTATTGAGAGGAAGAAAGCTTCTGTCTGAGAGAGACAGAAGGGGTCCCGAGTGGGTTGCCAAGGACTCTGTCTTTTCCATGGACTTTTTTTTTTTTTTTTTTTTTTGCAGTACTGGGGATTGAACTCATGACCTCATGCTTTCCAGACAGGCACATATGCCACTGAGCTAAATCCCCAGCCTTTTCCAATTACTTCTATAGAGCAAAATCATGGGGTGAGATGGTTCACAGTGGAGGAAAACTGGGAATTCAAAAGGCAGTTGGGCATAAGGTGGGATGTAACTATAGTTAGCCAATAAGATTAGTAGTTCATTAAGGACAAATGGGGAAGTGAGTCATGGAGAAAGGGGGCATTCTTAGAGAACAGTGACTCTTCTCTTTAAGGGATTGGGATGGTGGTTCCTGGCTTCCTCAGGGTGATAGGGAGCTATTTAGAATATCAGTCCTTAGGATGTGGATGCATTTGTTTGATCCTTTGTCTTGAGGCCTGGCCCACAGCAGGAGGTGTCTGTCTCCCCCACAGTTGCAAGATATCTGGGCTTCTGCACTGGCTCCTTTGAGGACCTAGCCCTGTCTCACTGCCTATAATATTTCTAACTAACTCAGCTGCTTGCAATACTCTCAAGAAAATAAGCAATCATATCGTCACACTCTCTGTGACCCTATTTTCCAATCTGCTATTGCAACCAGGATCTTTTAGGGGTACTGCATCTGTACCCTCCTCTTTGGGGCTATTTCACGCCAAGGTAGGTATGTGCTTTTTCTTCAGGGATGAAGCAAGTGGAAATTGGATTTGAAGATCCATCCAAGCTAGAGTATAAGTTATACTCAAATTTGAAACAATCTCCACATCTACTTACATCCTTTAAGAACTGCCCCAGTGTTTTCACTCTGAGCCAGATCCCTGATAGAAAGAGACACTCACTTTCACAGCTCCTCATTCCCTCACTGAGACGTCTCAAAGCAGATGCCCAGCAGTTCCTGATTTGTTCACACGGTGAAAAGTGCCACTTCTTGTTACACTACAAGGGTGGAGGACCCTGGTCCTGGGTGTGGCTGGGTTAATAAGGAACAGGTAGGGCTACAGCTCTGGGAAAGGATGGATCAGAGAAGCAGGTAAGCCAGGTTCTGCATCTTCCTTGGTGTTCTCTGGAGCCTCTGTGGTCCCCACACGGTGCCTCAGGTGCTGGGCTCCTCTGTTCAGGGCACTCAGGAGCTTGACTTCTACAGGGCCTGGTTTTGATCGGAGTGGTCTTATTGACACATGGGCAAAGCAGGTCACACAAGACCCACATAATTCTGGATTTGAATCAGAGACATCGAAACCTGGACATATGGGATTTCCATTATTTTCTCCCTTCTTGGAAAGTAACTCAAACTGGAATATTGTGTGAAAATTTAAAGTTCCACTCAAAGGCCATGTCCCCTCACTTTTTAACTTACACTGAACCCAACTGAGTTGCAAAGAAAAATCACCTTTTTTTCTCTTTAAGCCCTCTGTGTTTTTTGTTTGTTTTTGTTTGGTACTGGGCATCCAACTTTCAACCTTGAAAAGGTTTTGGCCCAGGCTGGATACTGTAGCCGGTAAAGCCAAGGAGCTCCTATCTCCCCCCACCCTTAGAAATTACCTCTGGCACCAAACTAAGACCAATGGACTACCTGTGCATCCCTAATGCCCCCTTAGGTTCCACCCCAGGCCGAGGCACAAAATAAAGGTTATTTATATTTTATACTTCTTATCTTTTCAGCCGCCATAGGTCCTCCTCCTCCTCCCCCTACAGTTCTATCAGATGGTTCCCTGACCGGGAACAGCAGGCGAGAGACTCCTGGGGCTGGTTCCCAGTTTTGAGTCCCCTGCTGTTCAGGACCAACCGGACTGCATCCTGCATTAATTCCTCACTTCTACACTCAGGAACTGTAAGCTTAGCTGCTGGTTCGCAAACAGCACCCACCAATTTACCACAGGTGAGCAACTCCCCGGAGACAGCCACTGAGCCCGGCTCAGGTGGATTCTTTTCCCCCCTTTGCATGGGTTCGTGACCCTTTCACGTCTTTTAGACAGCCCAAACCAAGGCCTTTCTGGGCAAGCCGATGTCCACTCTGGACAGCCCACACTGAGAGGCCCTCATGTTTTTCCAGAGCTTTTGGGGCTTTCTGGGCAAGCCTGTGTCCATTCCTGGCCCACCCACACTGAGAGACCCTCACTTTAGAGCTTTTTAAATTCTCATGGCAGAGCGGTTACTCAGCCCACACAAAGCCCACTCTTAATATTGGTGACAGTCAATTATTAAGAGTTTGGAGCCATATAGCCAACCTGTCGGTCTGGGGTGCAGTGTGACGACTCTAATCCTGACAGACCACAGTCCATTGTCTCATCTGATTGTAGCCCCATGGGCTAGACCAGATTTTATCTCGGGGACCACTTCCTGTCCCTCCCCAGAAACCATACCTATTTATGGCTTATCGCACTGTGGACAAGCTTACAAAACTCTCTGTCTTTGTTTTGGGAATGTGTCCCTCCCCGCCAGCTTCCCTGTCCCTTTGTCTCCTCCAGGATCCCTCTCCCTCCCCGCACTTAAAGGGATAACAGCGTCTTCCCCTGCAGCCTTTGGGAGTTTTCTCAGTGCCTCCTTTCCTCCTGGCTTCCCTCCCCGCCGCCGTGCTGCCAGCGTCCCTTTATTTCCTGTGGGTGCCAACCCATCCCCCACCACCGAGATTAAAAATGAGACCAAGCAATGTTAAGATACACATAAGATTTTAAACAGCTTTTGACTCTCACACTGCGCTCCAATTCTGTGCAGTATCTGGGCTCTTGTGTGGCGCTCCAGGTCCACATGGGGTCAGCGTTTCTGTGCACCCCACAAACAGTTTCAGCTCCACGTGGTGACTCAGCTCCACATCCAACCCGTTCCCTGCCGCACCGGCCCACTTGTGCCCGTGCCGGTCCATTCAGCCGTTGAGAGATACGCGCGGGACTGTCCACACCACGGGTTCAGCTTTTGGCACCGCGTCCTGGGCCGCGTGTCCCCGAGGCTCCCGTGAGCGAGCGCGGCTCCCACAAGCGGTTCCTGCAGGCTACTGTTTGCCGGCTGCCGGCTGTGCGCAGAGCCACACTTGACTGAAAGCTGCGGCGCGTGTCCCAGCCCCACCACTGCCGCCCACCCCGCCTCCACCGCCACCGCCACCGCTGCTGCCGCAGCCCCGCCCCACCCCTGCCGCCCTTTGCGCTGCACGCCGGCTCTGTCGCCAACAGCGGGCGGCCCCTGCGCCTTGGACCCACCGGTGGCCACGGTGAGCCCACCCGCATTGGCCGGCACCGCCCCCCTCTCCCGCCGTCACAGCTCAATTGCGTATTTCCCTGCGCCATCCCAGCGCCATCCTCGCCGTTTCAGGTGTGATCTGAGCCCGCCCCTGTGCGCTGTGTCCCAGCGCTCACCCCGCCCACTCTTCATGTTCCCTACATGCCAGATAATCTTGGCCTGCCCCAAGCGCAACTGTGCTCTCTCTATGGGTGCCATCTGTCTCTCTCAGAGTTCCAAACTGCCTCAGACTCTGCGAGTTTCCCAGACAGGTTTCTCCCAAATACAACCGCTTCTTTCAACACAGACACATATAACATCTCGTGGCTCTGCTCAAACGTATTTTTTTTACAATTCAGTTCCACTCAAGAGAGGCTATTTTTCTTACAATTTTCTACCATTTATTCAAGGTTAGTGGCCACCTGGTAATTTTACCAGCCTTGTTTATCAATTAAAGCCTACACTAATCTCCTGTTTTAACCACTAAAATTAAGAGATATTTATCAATTCCTTTTTGCTAAAAACCACTAGGTCTGTTCCAAGACAAGGGTTTTTTTAAAAAATTCTAATGTCCACCATCAGTAATGTTCTAAATTTATTGCTTCTGCTGTACTGTGTTGTCACCAATCTCCTGTTTAACAACTAGGTTATAACTTGAGAGTATATACTAAGTTAATACATTTATTCATAAGATTGATAAACCTTTACTGCAAAATGTTTCCATTAAAGCCTTTTTGTTAATTCCACATGGCACCCTATCAAAAGCGGTATAACATCCAGATAAAGCCTTCTTTCTAGTCTAAAATGCCAATATTAAGCTCCTACATACTTAATTCTACAGATACCTTTTACTATAGTCCAGATCTCAAGCAACAAGGCAAAACTTGACCTTCAAGCTCCACAGAGACCTTGATGTGGTTTTTCATATTTTAAATAACACTTGCAGTTCTGAGACAGACAGATCTACACAAGGTAGAGTTACCTGCCCCCCGCCATGGACCACGCTCAAATGCAGCAGAAGACATTAGGCAAGAAAGTGCCCCATCCTGGCGTTCTTTGAGACCTACTCCAGGGCTGCTGGGCTGTCCTGGCCCCCAGAGAGTGGGTGGGCCATCCTAACTTCTAGCCCTCACAGGACACTGCCAGATTCGTCACTGAAAACTGCTGCCGAAGACTGAGAGGGGCTCAGGGCCAGCAACAACCGCCTTTGTGGGTGTCTGTCTCAGAGTCCAAGTCACATTAAAACTCTCAAGGTAAGACATTCTCTATATTTGTGGACATAGAGGCCATATATACAGAGTTCTTATTGAGTTTTCAAGCTACTTTAATAAATCCTCAATGTCTGACAGAGTATTAAAGGTCAACCTATGTCATACTCAAACAGGGCCTATTTTGTGCAGGTCCCAGTCCTAAATCTTAAAATGCTTTTATTCCCTTTTATACAGGCTGACAGAACCTCAACAGCAATCAAAGTTGTTAGACTGCCATTCTGGTTTCACATCACTCAGGCCCTAGATCTAACCACGCTTTTTGTACTCATCTCTGCCTTACAAAGGCCTCATGGCCATGACTCACAGGTTGTCATGTTTTGTTATCCACTTTGGTTCCTAATTTCTTACATTCTATTAATGATCAATTTTACAGCAGGACTCTTTAACAGTATTGCCTACAGACTCCAACGTCATATATACCAGAGACAAGCCTTACCGACCTACCTTTTAACTTTTACTTCACTCCTCCTAATCCCACGTTTAATTTTCAAAATTCTGCCTTACTGTGGAAATGATCCTACCTCAACGTCATCCTGATAGAATAACATGTCTAAATCAAAGGCACCTTTCCCTCTGCCTCACTTGGGTCCTTAAATATGACAGTGCCATGTCTCCTCATAACATCTTGTCTCTTTGTTTTTTTTAGTCTAACATACGTGTATTCACCAGTAAGGTTGTCCTGGCTAAAACACCTGACACCAGCTTCTACCTAGACATCAACCATCATCCCGTCAACTCCCCTAGACCCCAGTACAGCACCCTCAGCCAGCAGGAAATAGTTAAAGAGAAAAATCTTCGCCCCTTTTCATAATAATCATAAGACGGGATATGAAAGGGTTTTGGCCCAGGCCGGATACTGTAAAGCCAAGGAGCTCCTATCTCCCCCACACTTAGGAATTACCTCTGGCGCCAAACTAAGACCAATGGGCTACCTGTGCATCCCTAATGCCCCCTTAGGTTCCACCCCAGGCCGAGGCTACTTATGTGCCTCACTCCACGTGTTCCACGGAGAGATCGCTGGCCCCGGGGTGGAGATGCCACGCCCCAGGGGGTCGGGGGTGTCTCTCCCCGCATTCCTGAAATAAAGGTTACTTATGTTTTGTACTTCTTATCTTTTCAGCCACCACGGTCCTCCTTCCCCCCTCCCCCCCACAGTTCTATCAAACCTCATGTTTGTCAGGCAGGTGTTTATGCCACTGAGCTAAATCCTTGGCCCAAGCCCTCTGTTTTAAAGGAGTCACAATTTTGCAAAACAAAACCTAAAGGTGATATTTTAGGGATGGTACTGAGTACTCCTATTCTAGCAAGGCACACTGTGCCCTTTCAAAATTTCCTTTGTGTACTTCTCAAAAGACATAAAGAAAGAAGAATTAAAAAACAAAGACTAGCACGGTCGTGAGTTCGATCCCCGGAACCCATACAAAACAAAAACAAAAATAAAACAAACAAACAACAAAAAACAGAGCAGTATGGGATACGTCCTAGGTCTCCAAGGTCAGGGCACATGGGCTCTCTCAAGCTGGGTCCCCGCAGGATATGGCAGTGGGCCACCCAAACCAGCTCAGGCCATATGTGCACCCCTCCCAAGCCACCCTCCCAGACCAAGGTCAGGCTTCATGCACAGCCTGCAGCGCTGGGGTCACGTGGAGTGCAGCCTCCCCCCCAATAAGATCTGCCCCCGGAGGGCATGTCTGCCTTGGTACCCGGAGTCAGAACCAGCTGCACAGGCAGCTCTCCCTTTTCTGCACTGAGCACCCATGCTGGTCACACAGAAACCTGTTCCTCAAGTCAGGAACAATCATGTTTTTCCTGGTACGTAGCTTATCTGACCTTCCGTAACAGATCAAAAAAGCAGGAAATGGAGTTGCACAGAAGAGCTTGATTTTACTTAAAACTCCCGCAAACATCTGCTTATCTAGAAACCAGTAACACGCAGGAGCTCTGAGAGGGTATGGGAAGTCCAAAGAAGTCTCTTAGAACTACAACAGGCTGCCAGGGGCCAGAATCAAATAATGGAGGGAGGAAGCCGGTTAGCATCAAAAAGCAACCCCGACAGGCTCGACGCAAAGACACCTATATGCAGGTCTCCACAGAGACTTAGGGCCAGAAAGGTCATGGCGGCCAGTTCGAGGGGCCTCAGGGGCACGCTTCCTGTGGCTGGGAGAACCCAGAGACCATGTGCTTACACTGCCCTCTCACGTGGAGAGACGCACTAGGAACTGTGCCCAGAGCTGTGGGGAAACTTCATGAGTTCCCAGCTTTCTTAATCTCCGCCCCCTCCCCAAGCTCTCTGGACTCCCTCTGATAACATAATGGAAAAAGCTCAAGGATTTGAGTTTTCTAAAAGAAGGCCTGAGCAGGAAAGAAGGGAGAAGGGGGTTGGGGCTTTCTTGGGGAGTCAGGAAGGAAAAGAAAAGTAAACTAGTGGGCTCCTCACTTTGGGTTACAGGTTTCACCAGGTTCCTAGGATAACATCAGCTGTCACCTGTATGGCCACTTGGGTCTGCATGGCTTGGGACATGTTCCCAGCCAACCAGAAGGGAGTCACAGTCACAGAAGGGAAAGCGAGGAAGATGCAGGGGTGGGGGTGGGAAAGGGAGAGAAAGGGAGAAGGGGGAGGGGAGGGGGAGAGGAGAGATGAAAAGAGGAGGTTTGAGAATTGTCTTTTTCCTAAAGTGTTTAGAACCCAAAACATACATGGCTTACAGAGACTGCCCTCCTTGGGGTCATGCCAAAAGCTGGTCTCCTCTAAGTGCTTCAGAACTTGATTTCCCATGCCAGTGGAATGAGAAACTCAGATGGAAACACTGCATGCACTAATAACTCACGTATGTCACGTATGTCACATATATCCGGAGAAGAAGTTTTAGCTCTGTCTTAGCCATCAGTGGGCTGCGTCGGCGTGAGGGGTACGTCAGCCGGAGGCCCTGCACACCACCAGGGACGTCTCTCAGCACCTTTCCCCATTGCTGCCCGGGGGACCAAGCACCTCTTGTCTTTGGTGCTTTTAGGCAAAAGAATTCATTTCCTGGGGACTCTGAGACAGTCTATCTACTTACAAAGAAACACTAAGATTGTAAAATTTTGTGGAAAAGAAGAAAGAAAAAGAAGGGAAAAAAGATAAACTGTGCCTCAAAGGGTAAGGGGTTCAGAGAAGTGGGGAAGAAGAAAGAAAAACTCACCACTTTGTCTGGGCTTGCAGCAGCCCTCTTTTGGTGCCCTTTACCTCCTGCCACTGGCTGGCCAAGAGAGAGTGTCACCAGGCCGGGGCTTTGGTAGAATGTCCACGTGCTTGCTGAACCCTCTCATGGAAGACATGTTCAAGGTGCTTCTGGAAGAGGCAAGGGAAGGGGTTACCGAGCAGAGGTTCTAAGGCTGCAAGTGTGGGCACTCAGGAACAGAGGTGCATCATGAGCCAGCAGTGGCTGCATTCATGGGGCCCAGGGTGTCTTCAAGGTGGGTAATCAGGGATGAGCATTTCAATCGTCCCGCAGGCTGTGCCAGGATTCGTGCCATCCACACGCCTGACGCTGGCATGTGCCGCCTGTGAATACTGCTACTTCCTTGAGGACAGAGGAAGAGCAATCTACAGGGGAAAGGACAGGTCCAGAGCCCAGCTAACTTCTGACTGTGTTTATAAGACTTTTTAGGGATTTGTTTTACTGCAGGAATTTTCTGGATGGAAAAGAGGCTCGAGCAACTTTTGCATTTTGAAGCTGCAGTTATTTTTAGTACAATTTTTAAGTCTCAGATTTTAAATCCTGAGTCCATTCTATCTAGTTGTTATTACTTCTATCTGACCTCATTCCTAAGGCATCCAGCCCCTGAGATTTTGCTTGGGAAAGTCTCCCTTTGGCCACCCCTGCCGGGGGCTCCTGCAAGGGTAGGAATGGTTCTGCAGCCGCCCACACCCAAGATTTTCCACAGCCCTCCGGGACAGAAGAGCTGAGTCAGAAGTCAGGGAACGTGTGCCCTGAAGCTGCGTGGAAACAGGAATTTTCATAGGCAGCTCAGAAACAAGAACCCAAACTGCAAAATCCAGTCAGGGTCATCCAGAGGCCAAGCTGCTGCTGCCTGGACTCCTTTAGCCAAGCAGGGATGCACACAGCATCTGGAGGTTGTGAGCTCCTCCAGCCCTAAGGAGTGGGAAGTGCCCTGGTCCAGAGCCTCCCTACACACTGTCCAATGGGCAAGCAAGGGGTCTGGCTGCTGCAAGGCACCCCAGAAATGTTAGAGCAGCCCTGGGGACCGGAATCAGATCTGCACGGGCCATGTGACCAGCAGACACCCCCTCTGCCACATCTACAATGGGCCTCCTCAGTGCCACATGCCCTGGAGATCCTCCCTGGGATGCCACCCATGAGCTGGGCCCAGGCTGGTTCCTAGGGCCAGGGGCACAGCAAGGGATGGGCGCGTCCCCTGGCTCAGTGCACACAGCACTAAGGAAGAGCACAGAACACAGGAAGAGGAAAGGCCGCCATTGTCCCCAAACACAGCACCCACAGAGCACTGCTCCAAGTCTTGTCCCAGTCCCACTTCTCTGCGGAGAAAGGGCTTTACACTGTGCTACCACACGCAGTCAGACTTTCCCTTGCTGCCCTCTGCAGCGCCCACCAGATCCGGGCCATTTCCAGCTCCTTGATTTACCCTCCTGGAGGCTGGAGCAGCCAGCAGGGTGCTTCTGTACTCGAGGTGGGGGTGGGGTGGATGTGCCTCCTCCACGGGGACCCCAACTCAAGGGGTGCTCCTGTGGGTACAGGCCTGGGGGTCAGCCTCGGGTCTGCGAATCTGCCCTGGGGCTGCAGTGGGGCCTTGAGGCCTGGGGGTCAGCCGGTTTTTGATGCAGCACCTGTGCGAGTGAGGGTGAGGGTGTGGAGGCAGCTGAGGGTGAGCTGAGGAGGAATGGGAGCAGGGCCTGTGTGGGGAAGGGCCGGGAAGCCACGGGACCTGGCTGTGACACGCACTGCCTGCCGCATCGCAGGGGTGGGCATCTGTGTGCCCGCATGGGTCAGCCCTGAGCAGGCACAACACTTCCCCTCGTGTGTGCCACAGGCCAGGCAGCCGGGCGGCTCCTCCCCAACACTCAAGCCTCACCTCCCCACCATTTGGGAGCAGACTGTCCTCAGCAGTGGCCCAACTCAGGTCACCTCACACTGACCCTGCCAGGGGCCAAGAAATCATGGTGCCTTTGGGAAGTGGCGCTTGGCGTGGGTAGGGAGAGGAAATCGGCAGAGGCAGGACAGTGACGTGTGTGTCCATGAGGAGCAGGCTTAGGGCCAGTGAGTCATGGGCAGGTGGCCCCGTGGGCAGCAGGAGTCCCTCTGTGTCTCTTGGGATAGGTGACACCTTTGCCTATCCCACTGTGCCTACCCAGAGGCTCCTCAAGATTCTCGTGTATCGCACATTTGCTTTCTGCCTTTCTCAGTTTCTACAGTGACTGAGCAGTGTTTGAAAACTGAGGAGGGCGAGCTGCACGGCCTCCAGCCCCCATCCCCTGTTGGGGACACTTACAGTCTGCCGAGGGCAGGAGCACAGAAGGCAAAGGGCTCTGGGAAAGAGTCACCCAAACCCACTGTTCTGAGGGTGACCTGGAAGGGAGGCACCAAAGAAGCTAAGCTGTACATCCCCAGGTGTCACCCCCAGGTTTCCACCCTTCCCTTCAGTCACAGGGAGCTCAGCTTCAGGCCCAGGGCAGGCCCGGGAGAGAGGTGCCCATGAACTCCACTTCACAAATGGAGAGAGCAAATCAGCCAGGTGCCCACAGCATGAGAGCTGCAGTACTGGCCAGGGCCATCCTGCGCTCCATGCTCCGCCAAGGTGCACCGTTTAAGGCTGACCTGAGGGTCCTGTGTGTCCCAAGGCCAAAGCAGAGAGGTCCCGAGTGCACAGGAAGGGACCTGCGAGGCCTGGGACAGGAGGGCCAGCTCAGGCAGCAGTGTGGCAGCAGTGCCCAGCTGCTCACAGCTCAGTGGCTAAAGTCACTCCTAGAATCCCCAGGAAGTAGCTAAAGGGGACAGGTCAGTCATGGTCCCGCCTGGCCTAGACCACGTCTGAATGCCTTTCTAGCATCCGCCTCTAAGATCCTGTCTGGTCAGATGGCTGGGGATGTGGACGGACAGAACAAGTGAGATGGAGTCTGCTGGGCTTACAGGCTGGCCCTGGACTCCTAGCTCAAGTGAGCTTCCCGTCTCAGCCTCCCCAGAAGCTGGGGCCACAGTGGTGAGCATGGCGCCCAGCTCAGGTGAGGTCTGTGTGTGCCCAAATGTCACAGGGAAGCAGGTCTTATTGTGTTCCCCAGGGTCTGTCCTTTGTCACCCTCCTTCTTGCCCCCAGTCACAACCCACACGGCACACTGGGCCCTTGTGTGGAAATCCCTGCCCACCTGAGCCCCACCCTCTCCACTCCGTGGGCTGCTTCATCAGCACCATGAGACATCCCGGCACCCAGCGGCCTCCCTGAGGCGGTGGTGCAGCTCCCTGCACTCCTTTCCCAGCCTTGCACAGGCCTCGGGTGGTCTTATGCTCACAGCTCTGTTGTCCTGATGCTACCCATGGTGTCCCACTGATGGCCAATTTCGGGGTCTTGGCTCCTGGGGGTGGGGACACCACCCTGGGCAGCACCTGTGCACTTGTGTTGAACCCCAGGGAGAGCCTGAGGGAACCCTCCACCTCCACGAGCTCTGTTTCCTGTGTGCAGCCACCGTCAGCGTGCAGCTGGGTAGGCAACGTACCTGGTCAGCATAGTCAGAAACCACACCTGTGAGATCCCGAAGGTCCTGTGCCCAACTTTCAGAGACACTGAGGCTCCAACCAGTTCCCACCAGCCACCAATAGGTGCCTGGGCTGGTATTGAGTCCAGAAGTCAGAGGTCAGACCCACATTTGAGTGGGTCCAGAGGCTGGGCCCTGACCTATGATGTTTATATCTACACATCCCCAGAGCCTCCTGTGCTCAGACCTGGGTGTGAGAAGGGGATGGGCTTCGGCAGAGTGGGGCCATGCATGGATTGCTCCTGACTGAGACTACCACTGCTGTGCGTCGAACAGCCGGCTATGTGGCAGGAGGATTTGCTGGCGGGAAGTGGGGTCTGGGCCACCACGGGGGGACCACCTGGAGGGCACTTGTGTTTCAGTCCCTGGCTCTTCCGGGCTGCCATGGGCTGAACACACACTTCTGCCTGTGGGCCCGTATCCACATGTCCTTGGAAACTGTGGCTGAAGTTTGTTTTTCCTCCTTCAATGTCCTTCTCGGGTTCAGTGTTTTGTCCCAGCAGTGGAAATGCTGGTTCTCCACCACCTTTGGAGAGGGAGGGCAGGACGTGATCGTTGCTGTCAGAGGCCAGAAGCACACGTTTGTAGGTAGTTGGCGGCCAGATCACCACTTGGGGTGACACTGAAGCCCCATCCTCGCATGAAGGAGTCCAGAGCCCTGTGTCCAGGGCAGAGGTGCACATCCCCGTGAGACTGAGGGAGAAGGCAGAGCCAGGAAAGTAATCAGCAGCAAGCCTTGAGGGGGAGAATGGAGAAACCAGGTGGAGCCAGGGTGGCTAGGTCAAAACCTCGGGGAAGCAGCAGATCAAAGGCCACCCTGTCCTTGTACCCGGGCATTCACAAAGCCACGTGCGTGACCCAGGCCTGCATCCAGCCTCCTCTTCATTGAGGAATTGACAAAATCCACTTGTCACTGCTTCTAGAAACCTGCTGTGGTCAAAAACGGCCCCTCCAGACAGGTGGCAGGGTCAGGATGCCGCAGGGTCAAGACTCCTGCCAGGTCCCTGCCTTGGATCCCCCCCCCAGGGCTCCGAGAGCCTGGGGCTTGCCCTTCTGGGCGTTGTCCCCGCCCCCCTCGACCCCAGGGCCGCTTTTGTCCTTCCTTCTGGAGTTTAATGACTCTCACTCTCCTTACTCTTAGTGTCCCGCCACACCCTTTGTTTGGGAAGCTAAGAACCCAGAAGAAGGGTGGGGGTGGGTACTGGCCCAGCACTAGGAAGCTGGAAGCTGCAATGGGAAGAGCCTCAGCACAGACCTGAGGTGCTGGGAGCCCTGTGAGGGGAGAGGACGGCACCACCCACGTGGGAGGAGAGAAGAGGACCCCTGTGAAGGGAGAGGCCCAAACCACAGCAGGGAGGACACTAGGGCCCCTGCGTGGCACTGCATGGGGCAGCTAGGACACCAAACATTCACCTTCAGGAACGCCAGAGCAGCAACGCGCCCTGAAGCTACTCAGTACACTCTGACACAGCCCAGCAAGGCCTTGGCCAGGAGCAGGAGCTCAGCTCAGAGCCAGAGCAGCAGCAAACCCCGGAGAAGGCCTGTGGCTAGGAACCGAGGGCGCCGCAGCGCTGCGCTGCACCTGCAGGGGGCAGACGCGCACACATGCACACGGAGGAGTCCAGCTAGGCAACCCCCTGGGAGCTGGATTTGCAGGAGGTGGATAAGCAGGTGCAGTGTGTGTGTGTGTGTGTGTGTGTGTGTGTGTGTGTGTGTGTGTGTGGCGGGGGTAATTTCCAGCTGCAAAGCCAAAGAAAGGGCAGAGGGAAAGAGAGAAGGATGCTCCAACCTGTACGGGCAGATGGCATCGGCGGAAACTGGACTCACAAATTGGTCTCCCAGCCTTGTAAGTCAATGGTTCTTGGAGACCGGAAGCAACACGTGACCGGTCTTGTCTGGCCTCAAGGAACCACGCTGCATGGGTGATGGGACAGAGCACCTTCCAGGAAGAGAGGACCTCAAGGAAGCCGAGTGGTGGTGGATGGGGAGCATGGATTTCCATTTCTAGGCTCATAGTTCTGCAGCTGGAGTGCAGGCAGGGGAACAACCGGTGCTTTTGTGAGAGCGGGCTGCAGGCGTGGACAGCCCTGCTGTGGGCCTGGAAATCCTTGTAGACCAACGATTTCCAATCCAGGGTAGCATCCAGAACCCCTCCCTGCAGGTGTCCACAGGCTACTCTCACCGACCTTCGGTTTATGGGTCCCACAAGACCCAGAGCGACCCTTCACCTGTGCAGTCCCCCATTGCATCCCAGTGGGCAGCTCAGATTTCTTGGGGCACATCAGGGTGGCTTAATCCCTTTCCACTCTGAACATTTATCTTCCTCTTGGTTGTGGCTGTGCATTGTGAAATCTGAACTTCCTGCACAGGGTGTGCACTGCTGTGCTAGGACCTGGGCTCCCTCTGCTGCACTCGGAGACACGGCATGCCACCTCTCTGACTGCTGAGTGTGCTGCTGTGGGACCAGTGGTGCAGGGCCTAGGCCAGGCAGCCTGCAGATTGGGGTGCCTCCTGATGCCCCTGAGCTGATGCCCCCATCCTGGGCTGGTGCCTCATACTGCACGTGCCTCTGCCTCAAGGCGGGACTCAGGAAGATTGACCTGGAGACTCTGCCTTACACCTGAGCGACCCATGGCATCAGGCACTGAGGGTGTTTCTGCACAGTACAGGACATGAGAGCAAAAGTAGCCCCACTGCCCCTCACTGAGACCACTTCTTGAGAGCTCCACAGCCTCTGATCATTGCAATTCTGCTGCATTTCAGTTGTGTAACAGCAACTTTCCAGTTCTCCTCATGTGGCAGGGAAAGCAAGAGCATTCCCCAGGCTCTTGCATGTCTCTCTCAGGCTTCCAGCACCAGTGCAGGTGTGTGTGTGTGCTTGCATGCCTGCATGGGTGTGTGTGTGTTTTTGTGTGTGTGATACCTTCCCCACTCCTGGCATTCCCTAGCCCAGCTCAGGGCACTTTGGGACCCACACAAGCTCTGCCTGATGCCAGCTGCAGCCCTCGGTCTCCAGCAGAGCTGGGGTGGAGCAGGGACAGGCTGAGGGATCCTTTCATCATTGAGGGTGAGGGTGACCCAGAGCCCCACTCTGCTGGAGGCCACTGCACAGGCAGGAGGTGCACCCCAGGGTGCCCTGGCTCCCCCAGCCATGGAGCCCTCTTGCCCAGTGCTAGGTCCTCTCCAAGCTAGGCCCTCTCCCAGAAGGGCCAGCACATGTGAGAAGCACCAGATCCAGCAGTGTGGGCTTCTCTCACAGCACAGGCTTTAAAGGAGACAATCGCTTCACAGAAGAGGGAAACGCAGTCCAAGGCGCCAGCAGCCTGCATCGGAGGACTGGAGCTCCCAGCAGTGGCAGAACCGGCACCTGCTGTGCACCTCCCTGGTTCTAAGCCCAGCCCTGACTGCCACCCTTGGTGCCGCCCTGTAATTACCTTCCACAGGGTCTGCTCATTCATGGGTGGAGAGGGGCTGGGCAGTGGGGTGACCTGCTGGATATCGGGGAGACACAGAGCAGGCACTTGGAGCGGTTTTGTCTGTGACGAGGGCTGGGCCTCCCTCCCTGTCTTCTCCCACATTGCAGGCAGAGGCCTGAGCTCTTCTCCGCCACCAGCCCGGGCTCAGGGCTGCAGTGCCAGATGCTGACTCTGCTCCATGCCTGTCAGGGCCTGGCTCCCCTCACAGGTCCTTGCTGAGTAACAGCATGAGCAAGGCTGTGGCCAGAACCTGTCCCACTTGTCCAGTAGGTCACCACTGTGATCAGAGATGAGAGCTGAATATGTGTGGTCACAGTCAGGTACCATAGTACATTTACGTTCTGAGGCTGGAACCTGATGTATTTAGGTCTAGAATGTCTCCTGAGGTCTCCTGTATCCAGAGGTGGGACTTTGAGACAGTGACAGGACCATGAGGTAGCTAGACTCCTGAGTGGATTATTCATTGATGAGACTTTGGGGTCCCTGGGTAGGGAGGAGGTTTGACCTGGAAGGGTGTTTGTGTGTCTTTGATCGTGGCTCCTCTCTCTCTCTGCTTCCTGGCTGCTGTGAACTGAACCTGCAATTTCTGCCTCAAAGCCAGCCAGCCAGTCCTCTGAAAATAGTGAACCAAAATTTGTCACTCCTTTAAGTTCCCATGTCAATTATTTTGTTCTAGTGACAGAAAAGCTAACCCTACACCACATTTGCAGTGAGAGGCCAGAACCAGTCCATCGATGTCAGAGGCTGGAAGCCCACATTTGGGATTGAAAGCCAGTACACCACCTGGGGTGAGAATCAGGAGCCCCACCTTTGATAAGAAGGAGGGCCTCCTAAAGGGAGAGGCTTGGCCATTTCCCTGAGAGCGAGGGAGAAGGCAGAGAAAGCCAAGGAAGCGAAAACTGTGGGGCAAAAATGAGGAACCCGTAAGAGCAAGGAGGGCTTCAGGAGCTGACAGATACTCTGGGCTACCTAAACGCAAGTAAGTGACACTGATCTGTATCCACCCCCTGTACTTTAAGGTGCTGACAAAACCCACAGTGGCCTGTTGGTGGGGGTGGGCTTTGGATGCCATGTCACTTCTAGAAACCTAGAGATCCAAATCTCCTTGTCCAGACAGGTGGCCAAGTCAGGAGCCCCACTGGGCCAAGACTCCGTCAGTGCCTAGCTACGGATTCTCCTGTCACCTCAGAGGCTTTGGAGACCCACTGCCTGCCCTTATCGGGCCAGCTCCTGCCTGAAGAGTGCATTTTTATTTCTTTGGTTTTGAATAAATCTTACTCTTGTTGAGTGCCCTGTTCAATCTTGTGGGAAGCCAAGAAACTGGGAGGAATTAGGCCAACCCCCTCCTCCCAATAACAAGGGGACAGCATCTTTGCAGTGGGAAGGTGGAACGCACCTTGGGATGAGATCTGGAACCTCAGCTCAGGCCTGAGATGTTGGGACCTGTGGAGGGGAGAGACCAGGAATCCCTGTGAGGAGATTGCATAGGAAGGACCCGACACATGAGAGGAGAGGCCAGAGCTTCAGTGAGGGGTGAGTCCAATATCCACCTGTAAGAAAGAGGAACAGGACCCCGTCTGTGAGGGGAGAGGAGGAGGAGAGGTGCTTATAACTGATGGCAGGGAAAGGCTAGGGGCCCCTGCATGTAGGAGTGGATGGCCAGGACACCTTTGTGAGAGGACCACTCCTATGAGGAGAGTGGGCAGGAGCCACCTGTGAAGGAGAAGGACAACACTCACTAAATGACAGGCGAGGAACCTCTCGTAAGGGGCGGGGTGCAGACACCCCATGTGAGGACAGAAGTTGGCTCAGCTGTGTAGGGAGAGGTCAGTACCCCACATCAGAGAGTCACCAGGATCCCCTTTCGAGGAACAGAGCCCAGGATACCACCTGTGATGCCCAGCTAGAAATAACCAGCGCCCCAGACATGTCTTTAGGAAGAGCCCACTCACTCTGAAGGGGTTTCCATAAAAGTGGCAAATACTTGCTCTACTAAATGTAAAAATCTCAACACAGGAGCACAATAAATATGAGGTAAACCAAGTCATATGATGTCTGGAAAATATAAGAATATTTCTAAGAACAGAGTCTACACAAATTGATATGAATGAAATGCTGAACAAAGAATTTGCAGAATGCGGGTGGTGTTGCAGTTCCCCAGAAGAACACTTGTGCAACATGAGTGATGCTCTGGATTCAGTACCCAGCACTACAAAATAAAAGAATGAAAAATAAAACAATGTTTGTGAAAAAGCTGAACAGTGGCCAGGGGAATAGTTAGATAAACAAGGAAATAAAAATGGGAAGGAAATACAGGATACCAATGAGGAATTTAGCAAAGAGAGTTTCTGAAAAAGAACCAGACACAGATCTTGAAAACAAGTCATAAAATGAGATAATATTTTAGGTAAAAGCCTCCATGACAGATTAAATGAAGCTGAAGAAAGAATATTTGAACTCGAAGAAAGATCCTTTGAAATATCTCAGACAATAGAATAAAGGGAGAAAAAGGAATGAAACAGTATTTAAGCCCTTTGGGATACCATTTAAAGAAATAAAATACTTTTCTCCAGAATACCCAGAGGTGAGGAAGAAAAGGTTAACAACATAGAGAACTTATGCAATAAAATAGTAGAGACCCAGTCAGAATCCCTGCACTGTCAAAAAAATTTTTTTCAGCAAAACAATAAATTAGTACTGGGGGGGAAAAAGCAAGATTCAGCCAACAACTTAGTTAGAGTAACCAAGAAACAGAGAGAAGACAAACTGAATTACTAGAAAAGGAGATACAACTGATACCATAGAAACACAGAAATCAGTAGGGATTATTATGAATAACAACATACTAACAAACTAGACAACTTATAAGAAGTGCACAAATTTTTGACACCTGTTACAAAAATTAAAACATGAGATTAAAAAACATGTAACAATTAATTAGATTGAAACAGTTCAAAATCTTTCAACAAAGATAAGCCCAGGGTCTGGAGATTTAGCTCAGCAGCATAAGCACCTGCCTTGCAAACAGGCTGTCCTGAGTTCAATCCCTGGTACCAATTAAAAAAAAAAAGATAAGCCAAGACTGGATGGCTTCATTGCTGAATTTTGCCAAACTTTTAAAGATCTAATGCCAAGGGGCTGGGGATTTAGCTCGGTGGCATAAGTGCCTGCCTTGCAAGCAGGCAGTCTTGAGTTTGATCCCTGGTACCGATAAAAAGGAAAAAGACAAAAAAAAAAAAAAAATATCTAATGCCAATACATGTGAATCCATTCCAAAGAATGAGAAGAGCAGGAACCTTTCCAAACATTCTATGAGGTAACATTACTGGGACTAAAACCAGATGAACGCACACACACCTAAATCAAATATACCTGATGGACATAGATGCAAAAATTACTAGAAATCGGGCCGGGGATTTAGCTCAGTGGCACAAGCGCCTGTCTGGTAGGCGCAAGGTTGTAAATTCGATCCCTGGTACCACACATACACAATAATAATAATAATAATAATAATAATAATAATAAAATTAGAAATCAAACTAAGCAGCACATCAAAAAGACTATTGGCTACAGTCAATTTGGATTCATTCCAGGGATAGAAGGCTGTTTCAAAAAGTATAAATCAATAAACACAATAAATACATCACATTAACAGAACAAATGGGGAAAATATTATAATTGTCTTGATAAATGTAGAGAACGCATTTGCTCAAATGCAGCATTCCTTTGTGATAAAAGCCATGAGCAAATTATATATAGAAGAAGCAAATCCCAATATAATAGTGGCTGTCTGTGTAAGTGAAAGCTGAAGCCTGAACCATGTTCACTGGGGAAGGTTGCAATCAATCTTACAACTATAAAAATTGAATACTTGGGAATAAACTTAGCCAAGCAGTAAAAGACCTTGATAACGAAAATTATAAAACACTGATGAGATGATTTGAGGAACATACACAAAAAATAGGGAATACTATGTCTATGGATTACTAGATTTAATGTTGTCAAAGCGTCTGCACAAAACAGTCTACTGTAATGCATCTCTCCTCAGAATGCCAGTGACGCTCTCCACAGGGCTAGAAAGTGCAGTCTGAAATTCCTGTGGAAACAGGGAAGATCCCAAAGACTCCGAGCACTATGGGGTCCAACCAGAGCAATCACAATACCCGATTTCAAGGCAACCACAGAAATCAAAACAGCACGGTAGAGCCATTAAAGACAAACACAGACCTCTGAAACAGAGTTCCCAGAAATAGGCCCACAATGTGCAGGCTAAGGCACCAAACGCAGAGCTTGGAGGAAGGCAGTAAACGGGCAGTGAGTAGAACCACGAAGCAAGAAACAGCAGCAAACCTGCCAGATGAGAGAGATTGCACAAAACTGAGAAGGTTCTGCATGACAAGGAAAGTGAAGAGCTAACCTGCAAAATTAAATTCCACCAATGCATCTAATAAAGGGTTAATATTCGGAAGACAGAAATTCAGAGACTTGAAAAACTATCAGGAAAATTCAAATCAAAATGAGATATCTCACTCCATTTACAATCTTTTTTTTTTTTTTTTTGGTACCAGGAATCAAACTCCCAACCTTATGCTTATGCCACTGAGTAAATCCCTGGCCCACAGTTGCTATTTTTAAAAAATGCTTGTGGGGATGTGGAGAGAAAAGGAACTTGTACACGTATTAATGGGACTGTAAATCAGTATACTTATTATATCAGGTAAAGATGCTGCCATTCTGTACAAACACACAATATAATATATTTTGGTACAACAATGTGGCATTCTAGATTTTCCTGTCCTTTTTTTTTTTTTTTTTTTGCACAAATTGGCAGTTATGAAATAATGTTACAACTTTACCATCAGAATGTATTCCTTCACTGTACTATATAAACATTCAGTAAAGTCCCTAACAGAGCAATTATCATGATTTGAAGATTTGAAGATTGAAAAATCTAATGAATATGTTACTTTAATTATGGTTGCTGAACTATTATGTACTATTCTCTATGCATGGTTTTGTTTGTTTTTCTTATAGCAAAGGATTCAGAGATAAAATCCTTGAACCCTGGTCACAGCTTGATGCAGGTATTCATGCTGATGGTTCTCATCCAGCTGGTTGCCTTTTACTTAGTGAAAGATTTGTTACTGGAAATGGGTTGTTTTTTGGGCCTATGTCTTTGGCAGCTGCGTGAACCACTCAAAGACTCTGACTATTCAAGAGATTGCACACAACTTCACCTTTGGCCACCACAGGCGATATGGAATCGCTGATTTGGAATGGTTGCAAATCTTCCTGTTGGGCTTCCAATTTTCAATTTCCTTTATGGATCATCATAGACGCCTTGGGGTTGACGGCATTGATGTGGATAGTCCTACTGACTTTGAAGGCTGGTTCTTCTGTACCACTTTAAGAAAATTTGTATGGATTATTTTTCAGCCTGTCTTTGTTAGATGTGAACTTCTATTCATCAAACTCAAATGAATTGCTTAGCTGGAAATTAAAAATACTGTGATCCAAATAACATTTGATGTTCTAGTTTACTATGTTTAGGAATTAAAACATTACTCTACATGTGGGCAGCATATTTCTTTGGTCCGGGCTTACATTCAATTTCAAGACATTGTATAGCTGAGCATTACATGTTATTAAGAGATGTGAACCTTACTTACACTCTAGATCTCTGAGTTTACTGACCTTCAAGCTGGGTTATCACAGCAAACATCATGACTTCCCCAGTATGCCCAGAAAGAGCCTTCCAATAGGGAGTAAGGATCTGAGGCATATTTTAGCTTTCTCTAGTCATATATTATTAATTTAGCCATTTAAAAAAGGAATTTAGTACATTTTGTCAACTTAAGCTGTTCATCCAAAAATAAAAAGAACATGAATAAATGTCCTGCATGTATCATCCAAATTTTATTAAGGGTTCACTTTATCAGATCATTAAGGTTACACTTAAGGTTCACATATGTTGAACAATATGCCAATGTATTATCTCATGAAGTAACTCAGAAATAGAAAACTAAATTAAAAAAAAAAAAAACCCAACTGAATCCTTCATAAACTAAGCACCAGTTCAAGGAAGGTTCATCTCTGTTTAACTGAGGGGCTTCCCCAAATGTATATGTTGCTTTCTTGTGGAATACAAATATCAGCAAAATGAATAGAATCAGTTTCCAAAATAATCGTGTCCAGAGATCAGCTGTTCTTTGCCTTGGACAAGAGGCTTTTCAGTGTGATGCACGATGGAGTTGTGGCTTCCAAGTAGGATGTCCTTTTGGGGGCACATGATGACATTTTGAGGGATGAAATATGAGGAACGGTTGTCAGGTAACATCCAGAGCTCACCTTCAGAACACTCCATCATAGATAGAATGGCGTGTGCGTTCATCATGCAGCACATGTGAAGGAACCTGGAAGGGGTGAATCAGGTCAAGGACGAGGGGCTCATTTCAGTCCTCTTCCACCTTTTTAGTGGGTTTTACTTTTCAGAATGAAACCTGGGAGCAAACGGCACAGCACACTCCTGATGACGGGGAGGGAGGAGCCGCCCGGCTGCCTGGCCTGTGGCACACACGAGGGGAAGTGTTGTGCCTGCTCAGGGCTGACCCATGCGGGCACACAGATGCCCACCCCTGCGATGCGGCAGGCAGTGCGTGTCACAGCCAGGTCCCGTGGCTTCCCGGCCCTTCCCCACACAGGCCCTGCTCCCATTCCTCCTCAGCTCACCCTCAGCTGCCTCCACACCCTCACCCTCACTCGCACAGGTGCTGCATCAAAAACCGGCTGACCCCCAGGCCTCAAGGCCCCACTGCAGCCCCAGGGCAGATTCGCAGACCCGAGGCTGACCCCCAGGCCTGTACCCACAGGAGCACCCCTTGAGTTGGGGTCCCCGTGGAGGAGGCACATCCACCCCACCCCCACCTCGAGTACAGAAGCACCCTGCTGGCTGCTCCAGCCTCCAGGAGGGTAAATCAAGGAGCTGGAAATGGCCCGGATCTGGTGGGCGCTGCAGAGGGCAGCAAGGGAAAGTCTGACTGCGTGTGGTAGCACAGTGTAAAGCCCTTTCTCCGCAGAGAAGTGGGACTGGGACAAGACTTGGAGCAGTGCTCTGTGGGTGCTGTGTTTGGGGACAATGGCGGCCTTTCCTCTTCCTGTGTTCTGTGCTCTTCCTTAGTGCTGTGTGCACTGAGCCAGGGGACGCGCCCATCCCTTGCTGTGCCCCTGGCCCTAGGAACCAGCCTGGGCCCAGCTCATGGGTGGCATCCCAGGGAGGATCTCCAGGGCATGTGGCACTGAGGAGGCCCATTGTAGATGTGGCAGAGGGGGTGTCTGCTGGTCACATGGCCCGTGCAAGTCTGATTCCGGTCCCCAGGGCTGCTCTAATGTTTCTAGGGTGCTAGGCATCAGCCAGGCCCCTTGCTGGGCCATGGGACCACACCTACAGTGACTACTCCCTGGCACCTCACGGGCGACAAGTGGAGAGTAGGGCTGGGGACCCAGGACAGTCACTGCTCACCTGACTTCCTGCTTGGCATAAGGACTGTGGACTGCAGCAGATTGTTTATGTCTGATCTCAACTGGGGCTTTGCACCACGGTGAGGCTTAGAAGGCGAGTTTCTGAGCTGCCTCTAAAATCCTTGTTTTCCTGCTCTGACTTCTGATTCAGCTCCTGCTTCCACAGAATAATGCAGGAGGAATTAGGGTGGGCTGGCTGTAGAACCCTGCCCTGACAGGAGTCCCAAGTTGGGAGTGACTGAATGGATTCTCCAAGGAACACCTCAGGTCTCAGAAATTAGAAAGAGGGCTTTGAATCTACCAAATCAGAGTTCTAAATCTCTTGTCTACTTCATGAACTGTGAAACTGCTCCTAGATTTGAATTCTGATTCCATGACTTTGCACAAGATACCTGTTCTTTCTTGTTTGTTTCCCTAGCAGCATGAGGAGGACATTACTCCTGTGAGTCCTCAGCCTTCCATAGGAAACAGCACAGTGCCTGCCACAGGCTGGGTTCCCACTGACACACCTGCCCCAGGCAGAGTCATGGGGGAGGCAGGCATGTTCATGGAACTGGTCCTTAGTCCTCATAGAGCTGGGTTTCTTAACAGGCAGCTTTACGAGATGGGACAGGTTCTTTCCACAGCCTTGCTCATGCTGTTAATTTACTCAGCAAGGACCTGTGAGGGGAGCCAGGCCCTGACAGGCGTGGAGCAGAGTCAGCATCTGGCACTGCAGCCCTGAGCCCGGGCTGGTGGCGGAGAAGAGCTCAGGCCTCTGCCTGCAATGTGGGAGAAGACAGGGAGGGAGGCCCAGCCCTCGTCACAGACAAAACCGCTCCAAGTGCCTGCTCTGTGTCTCCCCGATATCCAGCAGGTCACCCCACTGCCCAGCCCCTCTCCACCCATGAATGAGCAGACCCTGTGGAAGGTAATTACAGGGCGGCACCAAGGGTGGCAGTCAGGGCTGGGCTTAGAACCAGGGAGGTGCACAGCAGGTGCCGGTTCTGCCACTGCTGGGAGCTCCAGTCCTCCGATGCAGGCTGCTGGCGCCTTGGACTGCGTTTCCCTCTTCTGTGAAGCGATTGTCTCCTTTAAAGCCTGTGCTGTGAGAGAAGCCCACACTGCTGGATCTGGTGCTTCTCACATGTGCTGGCCCTTCTGGGAGAGGGCCTAGCTTGGAGAGGACCTAGCACTGGGCAAGAGGGCTCCATGGCTGGGGGAGCCAGGGCACCCTGGGGTGCACCTCCTGCCTGTGCAGTGGCCTCCAGCAGAGTGGGGCTCTGGGCCACCCTCACCCTCAATGATGAAAGGATCCCTCAGCCTGTCCCTGCTCCACCCCAGCTCTGCTGGAGACCGAGGGCTGCAGCTGGCATCAGGCAGAGCTTGTGTGGGTCCCAAAGTGCCCTGAGCTGGGCTAGGGAATGCCAGGAGTGGGGAAGGAGTTACCACACATGCTTACACGCACACACATACACAAACACATACATGCACATATGCATGCACACACATATACACATGCACTGGTGTCGGAAGCCTGGGAGAGACACTCAGGAGCCCGGGGAATGCTCCTGCTTTCCCTGCCGCATGACAGCGTGATAGATTTGTACTCATCAGAGGCTGTGGAGCCCTGAAGGAGTCGTCACAGTGAGGAGCAGTGGAGCAGCTTGTGCTCTGTGTGCTGTGTTGTGCAGAAATGCCCTCAGTACCTGGTGCCTAGGGTGCTCAGGTATAAGCCTGTGTCCCCAGTAGTGCCCAAGTCAACACAGCTGGAAAGGTGGCATGCCACACTTCCAACAAACATGTGGAGAAACCAGCGTCATGAGCATTCAGTCAGGAGGAAAAGCTCAGATTTCTCAATATGTGGACACAGCCAAGAGGCACACAAGTGTTCACAGTGGGAAAATAATAACACTGTTATGTCCCAAGAAACCTCAGCTGCCACCAAGAGGCCATGGGAAATCATGCACTGCAACAACGAAAGTTCCTCTGGATCTTGTGACGCCCCTAACCCGAGGGCCTGGTAGAGCACTCAGGACAACCTGCTCCAGTGTCAGGCCCTAGGGGCCACCCGAGGCTGGCGGGAGTGTGTGCATCCCAAGCCATGCTGTGTGCTCTCCCGCTGCTCCCGGCTGGGCTCACGAAGTGTGCAGAGTCCCTTCCCCAGTGCCGCTAGGAAACAGAAATCATGCTGCTCTTTTCAAAGCCACTTCTGCTCCTTCATGGCACCCTTCTTCCTGTCCTCCGTCCTTCTGTGGGGCTGGGGTGACATGTCAGAGTCGTGTGTGGGAGGGCAGGGCCATGGACATGTGAGGACAGGGGAACCCCTCCTGAGAATCAGTCCTTCCCCTCTTCCTCTGCCCCATCTCCGGCTTCTTAGCCATCCGACCTGCATAACCACCTACTGCAAACCCTGCTCCTCTTCCAGTGGGTCCCTCAGGTCGTCCTTGTCAACTGGATACTGAGTGGGTTCTAGGGGTCACTGAGGCTTCCGGGTTTCTGAGGGTGGAGCTGCGGCATCCTCTCGGCCTCATACAATGCCTGGTAAGAAGTCCAGACCATGAACCACGAATGAATGTGTTCTGCTGTGAATTTAAACAGAGAGGCTCCGAATCAGGATTCCAGATTACGACACACTGGTGACTGGGAAATCTTGCTGGATGTGCTCTGAGAGGGGTGATGGGGCACAGGTGTCAGGACTTGTTCTCCACCTCCTTCCCGCCTCAGGGTTAGGCCATGAGATGCACGTGCACACACTCCAGTTTCGGTTCTAGACTCAGTTGACTTTCAGATTCTTTACATGAATTTCCTGTGTGTGACCTTGGGCCAGTCACTTGGCTTCTCTTCTTTCCAGTATCTCAACAAAGTAAGGTTTTGGTAGTACTGCTGACTCACAGAAGTGTGGGGCCTTCAAAATAATGTGTGGAAAATGCTTGGAACAGGGTAGGTGAACAAGAATATCTGCAAATGCCCATGCTTACCTAAGGTTACACACACCCTCCACCTCAGGCTGTTTGTTCTAGATAAAGTTTCTCAAAGTCAAGTACTCTCCGTACTGGTTCATATATCAATCACTCCCAGTGCTGCATGGACCCTGCTGGATATGAGGAATAGCAAACTCAAGCTCCTGGCTGATCCTTAAACCTCAAGGCAGACTACATGTTCACAAGCAGTAAGGTTGGAACCAGGAAACAGGTAACAACTGGTCCTTGGAGCCCGAAACTGAAACACCTGACCTGTTGGCAGTGGAGGTGGATCAGTGAGCCTGTGTGAACTCTGAGGCACTGATCTTCAAAGAACAGAGCACCAACAGGGAGTAGAGGAAGGTCAACTGTGGTACAGTGCAGAATCCTCAAAGTGATTCCTGGAGGGCGCTGGGGCTCAGCCTTCCCACTGCCATGGACTTGGCAGGAGGGTGCCAGGTGAGCCTGCCGGGAAGCTGAAACCTCCATGCCTGTCAGAAGCCTTTGGGCAGCAGGAAACAGCACTTTGGGGAGGGACAGGAATATCCTTTTGGATCCAGCAGGGAGGGAATCAGAAGGGTCTGACGCCAGGGGATGTAGGGGCTGTTAGCGGGTTTGGGGCAGGGACACACACAGGTACAGTTCCACAGTGAAGCTCAGGCCCCCATAAGACTCCTCACAGCATGGCTCTAAGGCAGCCCCCATGCCCAAGTGTCACAGACATGGGTAGGGACTGAGGAAACGAGCATGGCAGAGCTGGTCATGCTGTCACTCTAATCTCCCATCAGTGCTGCTTACACAAAGCCTCCAGTCATACCGGGAGTTTCCCCAGCAGGAGGGTGGAAAAGGAAACCCAAGCATTTTGGGGTGAAGCTAGGTCTCAGAGCAGGGGTGCCCTCTCAGGAAGGTCTGTGCTTCCTGCTCAGCTGCCTGAGGTTTCACGGAGCTGCAGTGCTGCTGACAGATTTTACACCTTGCTGCCCTGTCACACTGCACTGACCCAAGTGACCCCTCTGAGGAGGCCAGGACGGCTGGCTTACAGCCCATGACACTGCTTGAGAGCGATCCCCTCCCTGGGGTGTCCCTCACAACTGCTCCCCTCCACGTGGAGCGGAAGTGTGTCTGCGGGGCTGGCTAATGAGAGTGGGTGCGTCAGGAGGAGGCAGCCAGTGTTGGACGGGTCGGGTTCCCTGCGCACTTTACTCAGGAGGAAGGCAGTTCAGGACCAGCAGCTTCCCATCTAGGTCATGGTACAGCGGTAAAAAGTGCACATTTATAGTCCCACATTATTTCAGTCTCAACCTTCCATCCAACAGTACTTTCAGTCTTTTTCAAACTGTGTTTTGTAAACAGTGAAATACAAAACCACAATAAGTACGACTACTCTGAAATCCATATTTTAGTTTATTAGCTGTTTTAGTAAAGTAAAACTCTGCTTACACAATGACAGACGTGGGAGGAGACGCCCCTTCCCAGGGAAGAGATCACAGCAAGCGAGGTAAGCTGAGCACACAGGGCCAGGCTGACTCCACTGAGATCCCAGCCGAAACACAAGTGGGTGAGGCGGCTGGCTCGTAAGCACTGCTGACCTGAGGCCTCCTCTCACAGAGTACACTGGGTCGGCTATTCCCAGGCTTCGCAGGGGATTCCTCTGCTGTGATGAGCTTTACTCCAGCACCTCCTGCCCTTTTGGAGCCCTCTTCATTCTGGAGTAGGGGCTTATGGTATCATCCATCACAAAGTCGTACAGCACCTTCACCCAGGAATTGTAGTGGGGCAGGTTGTCATAGTATTCCGCTGCTATCTTCCTCACCTGCACAGGAATCGACACAGCAGGGTGAGCACTGAGGGACAGTGAGGCCGGCAAAGGTGACAGGTGAGGGATCCACACAAACAGGGAGAAGCCAGCACCAAACCTCAGAGGACAATGCCTCTGCTCACAGCCCTCCTGAGTCTCCCCAAAGGAAGACCTGCAGACCCGCACACACACAACAAGCCTGCCCTTATGTAATCCACACCGCTTGGGGCAAAGCCAGCAGCAGTCAGCGCATCTTCCCAGCTCCAGCAGGACACCAGCCTTGCACAAGCACAGGTTCAGCAAGTGCTGACTCCTGAGTGCTAGACACTGAAGGGACATTAGCAGTCACAGAGCAGAGGAAGTTGGTGATCTGTGCATGTGTTATGGGGATACACCGAAAACTAATAAGCTCCTCCATGTCAGGAGTTCCAAATTCAGGGAAACGTTTAAGCACATGTCTGTTTGATTCAAACAGTGACATAAATCTCTGGATGTCTGTGTACCCTGCGATGTCATCAACAAATGGAAATACAGGCATTTATAAAAGCTGCTTTGGGAAACCAGGGACACAGCTCAGCAGCACAGCGCCTGCCTGGCAAGCACAAGGTCCTGAGTTTGATCCATGGTAAAACAAACAAACAAACAAATAACAAAGAAAAGCTGTTTATGGACTGCAAAGCTCAGTAAAAATACATAAAACCAGGGGCTGGGGCCTCAGCTCAGTGGCACAAGTGCTTGCATGGTGAGTACAAGGTTGTGATTTTGATACCCAGCACTCAAAAAAATAAAAAACCAAAACCATAAAATTTCACCAGAGATGTAGTTCACAGTAGAGCACGTGACTACCATGCGCAAGGCCTCGGGTTCAAGTCCGTGCGAAGCCGCTCACAGTGGAGTGCACCTGCAATCCCAGTGCTCAGGTGGCTGAGACCAAGAGCATGAGAAGAGCCTGAGTGAAACAGCAGGACACCATCTGAGACACAGAAACCAAAGCCCTGCAGTATAAACTGCACAATGACCATACTAGGTCAAAACCTTGCTACTGGTGCAAATATCCTGATGCTGACGACAGTGAGGCTGCAGAGCTCTGCATGTACTAAAAGCACCCAAGGGAGCACGTTACATGAGGAACCTGCAGATGAGTCACCTTTCACAGCGCTGTGCAAAGCACACTTCACTGCTGCATCCCTGTTCATCATGCAATAGCATAGCAGGAAACATGCGCTAAGTACAGCAGTTACTGAGAAAAGGGACCAAGATTCTCTTCAGCACGTATCACAGAGAGCAGGCGAGTCAAGCTGTGGGCCGTCGGGCTGTGAGCCCACTTGGTACTTTTTTTTTTTTTTTGTCTTTTTCGTTTCTATCAGTACCAGGGATTGAACTCACAACTGCACACTTGCAAGGCGGGTGCTTATGCTGCTGAGTTAAATGCCCAGCCCCAGTGAGCCCACTTGGCTGAGGAGCCGGCTGCGCGGGCACTTGTCACTGGTGCAGGGAAAACTCTCTGTGGAAAGGGTGACTGCTTTTCCTTTAAACCACTTCCCTCCTCACCAGATCCGCTCCCCAGGCTGATGCTGAGGCTCTGTGGGGCTGCACAGGGCACAGTGAGCCGTGAGGCAGGGGCTCTGCGATACTACACTGCCACTCCCCATTGTCGCCAGTGTCCTGTGCTGTTCGTTCCCAGGTTTCATTCTTTTTTTTTTTTTTTTTTGTCTTTTTTGAGACGGGGTCTCACTATGCCATTCGGGCAGGCCTTGAGTTCACTTTGTAGCCTAGGCTGGTGTCAATCTCCCAACGATCCTCCGACCTAAGCCTCCCGAGTGCTGAGATTACAGGCGTGAGCCACCATGCCCAGCACCAGGTTTCATTCTGAAGAGTAAAACCCACTGGAAAGGTGAAAGAGGAGTGAAATGAGCCTCATGCCCTTGACCTGTTTCACCAAGGATGAATCCATCCAGGTTCCTTCACAGTGCTCAGTGCTGCATGACAACCACACGCTGTTCCTTGTGAAGGAGTGTTCTGAAGGTGAGTTGCAGATGTTACCTGACAACCACTCCCACTTCAGGTATTTCACTCTTAAATATTTCAACATGCAATAGCAAAGGCCACCATCCTTCAAAGCCAGTGCATTAGGATCACATTGCAGAAATGTGACAGTGACAGATTATTACTTAAGATAGAGACCAGATTCTCAATTTCCCAAGTGACTCAAGGTATTCTGTAGCTTTTTGTTTGCTACATCGGATACCAAAGCAATATTCAAATATACTAAGTTGTCATATTGTGTCAATGTTTAAAACTTCAGGCATTTATCATAGCATAAAGTCACTGGTTGAAGTTCCTTTAAATCACACCCTAAAATAAATCATGAGAACCTACTATTGTTTTTATGTACATTATTAGTCATTTTATAATTGTGGCAAGATTTTTTTTAGTTTTTGTTAAATAGGGATTGTGGGGTCTAAGCTGCCTTGAACTCAATACATAGCCCAGGTTGGTATCTGGACTTTATATCAAAACTATCACATGAATTCTAGCACATTTCTCATTTTAATACTGATGAAGGTTCTATTAAAGTGGTATGTACTTTACAGAGGGATTTAGTTTAGTATTTTTGAGTTACTTCACCAGATACCAGATTTTACACATGTTCCAACATAATCTTAAACTAACCCTAAAGTGTAAGAATCCAAGAGACAAGTGTAAGGTCGTGAGTTTGATCTCTGGTACCAGGAAAAAAAAAAAAAAAAGAATCCAAGAGAACAACCCTTTTTTAAAATTAGGATGCACATGATATTTTCCCTTATTTTTTCTTTTTCTTTTTTGGATGAACAGCTTAGATTGACAAAATATACTGGATTCCCTTTTACATTACCAAATCAATTTATATGACTATAATAAACTAGACTATGGGGCTGAGGATTTAGCTCAGCAGTATAAGCGCCTGCCTTGCAAGCAGGCAGTCGTGAGTTCAATCCCTGGTACCGATAAAAAGGAAAAGGACAAAAAAAAAAAGAAAAAAAGAAACTAGACTATGCATCAAATCCTTACTCACCAGTGGAAGGTTCTTTCCAGGAACATTGGGGAAGTCATGATGTTCATTGTGATAACCAACATTGAAGGTCAGTAAGTTCAGAGGCCCATAATATGAGTAGGTTTCATGTCCCTTTAAGAACATGTAATGTTCTGCTATAAAATGTCCAGAAATCGGGTGTAAGCCCAGACCAAGGATGGATGCTGCCAACATGTAAATTAAAGATTTAATTCCTAAAAGATAGTAAACTAAAATGTCAAAAGCAAGCTGAATCACAATATTGATGATTTCGAGATAAGAAATTGGTTTGGGATTGATGAACAGAGGTCGAAAGGCATAAAAAAGAGGCTGAAGAATAACCCATATAAGCTTTCTGAAAGTGGTACAGAAGAACCAGCCTTCAAAGTCAGTAGGAATATCCACATCAATGCCGTCAGCTCCAAGGTATCTATGATGATCCATGTGATACCTCTTAAAGGAAATTGAAATTGGAAGCCCAAAAGGAAGATTTGCAACCATTCCAAACCAGCGATTCCACATTGCCTTGTGGTGACCAAAGGTGAAGTTGTGTGCAATCTCATGAATAGCCAGAGTCATTGAGTGGTTCATGCAGCTGCCAAAGACATAGGCCCAAAACATGACCCATTTCCAGTCCAAGTCTTTCACTAAGTAAAAGGCAACCAGCTGGATGAGAACCATCAGCATGATAATCCATATCAAGTTGTGATCAGGTTTCATCAAGGATTTTATCTCTGGATACTTTGCTGTAAGAAAAACAAAATCACACAAAATCATGTATAGAGAATAGCACATAATATTTCAGCAACTACAATTAAATTGACACATTAATTAGGTTTTTCTTCTCCAAAACATATTCTATTAAAATCTTTATCAAATATTTATCCACTATAGTGAATGAATATTCTGTAGTAAAGTTATAGTACAACAATAACAATTTGAGAATTTATGCCAAAGCCTCAACATCTAGAAGGTCTACATATTTTGTATTAAAGTATATTATATGTATATATAAAAGACAGTTAAGATACTTATACTGCTGGTTTCTCTGAGTTCACTGAAGAGAAAGATTTGCACTGGTATTATTCGGACAATTGAATGCAGATGTCCTGTGCTCTGGGTGAATGATTTGGGGATGACAATGTGCAATGTATGTACCATTGTTGCCTCTGATTGATGTATTATGAAGCATAATAGAGAGTTTTTCTCGGGTAGTTCAAAATCATGAAATATATTTTCATGATTTTCTCAAACAAGCTTACTCCATGGAATTCCATATGGCATCTAGAAAGGCTGTACCCTTATATAAAAATCAACAGTACAACAGTGCCAAGGAGGGAAACAGACAGTGATCAACAACATGCAACATGCATGCTGGGTCAACAACATGCAAAAGAACATGCCTTCATTATACCACATACAAGGTCAACTGAAATGAATCACTGTTCTAACTATCAGACTAAAAAGAAAAGGCTGGACATGGTGGCATAAGACTGTAATCCCAGAACCAGGGAGTCTGAAGCAGGAGGACTGTTTGGAGTTCAAGGCTAGCCTGAACTACAAAGTGAGACCCCACCAAAAGGGAAAGTGAAGCACAAAAGAAAACACTGAAATAAATCTTGTGTTACCTAAAGCACAAATGATGGGAGACCAACAGATAAATTGTACTGCATCAGAAACTTTTCTGTTACAAATGGTATCATTAAAAAAGTGAAAGGAATCCACAGAATAGGAAATGTTTGCAAAGCAGTATCTCATGAGGCAACTGTAATCAGAATATTTAAAGCATTCTTAAAATTCTTACAACTAATAATCCCATTAAACAATGGCCAAAGGGTCTGAGTAGATATTTCACCAAAAAAAGACATGTAAATGGCTAATAAGCACACCACAGATACATAAATCTTTACTAATTTACATAAAGCACAGGTACAACTTTATGCCCACCACTATAATAACAAAAGCAGGCAATAGGGATGCAGAGCAACTGGAACCTTCCCTCACACACTGTTGGTGGGGATGCTTTCAGACATTCTGGAAGTTCCTCAAAATGTTACACCAGTGACCCACCTATTCTACTCATACCACCCATGAGAAATGAAAACATACATACATACATACATACAATATTTTGCAAATAAATATTTATAGTAGCATTATTCAAAATAGATAAAAAAGGGAAATAGCCCAAATACCAGCTGAATCAGAGTAAACTGCAGGATACCCACGCAAAGGAGTGGTACAGACACATGCTCTAACAGGAACCTTACGTAATAGTGAAAGACGCCATCACTCAAGCAGTACGATTTCATTTACATGAAATGTCCTTCACTGGCAAATTTAGAAAGACAGAAGTAGATTAGTGGTGCCTGGGAATACAGACAGGGATTAGGGAATATGGGGACTAAGGGATTCAAGTATTCTTTCCAGGATAATGAAATGTTCTGAAATTAGGTGGCAGTAATAGTTTCACCATTTAACATATTAGAAAATACAGCTATACACTTTAAATGGGTGAATATGTCAATAAGGCTGTTTAAAAAATTTTTTTGTAAAAGTACAATAGTAAAGGAAGAAATCCTCATTATTTATTCTTATTTGATTTGCTAAGAATGGTCCTGTCCCTAGGCCTCTCAGATAGATGCTTTTTTCTCCCCTAATGGCACTGGGATTTGAACCCAATGCTTCTAACACCCTAGGCAAGTGCTCTACCAGGCGCTACCTCCAGAGCCCAATATCTTTTAAACAGAATTTTGGGGAGGTGAGGAGCAGGTCCTGAAGACTGAGCCCAGGGCCCCCACACCGAGCTACATTCCCAGATCCGTTTCTAAGAGATTTTTGAGACAGGGTCTGACTAAGTTACTGAGGCTGGGCTTGAACTTCTGATCCTCTTGCCTCACCTCCCAGAGTGATGAGATAACAGCTATGTGCCACCATGTCTGGCTCCCTTTAAATAAGACTTAACATGAACTCTAAGTATAAACTTATTTTCTTTCTTTCACAGTGTTGGGAATTGAATTCAGGGCCTTCTGCATGCTACACATCATTCTACAACTAAGCATCTACCTCTCCAGAACCCAAATGTAAACCTTATACAGAGTTGGTTGTTAAACAATGGATTTTATCGTCTTTCTTTTGCCAAAAATCCTGAAATATTGTATATGTTATCACTTAAACATAAACTAATCTCTACCTATTTTTGTTAAAGGTATTCCACCTTCACCCTCTGAAACACTGAACAGTACTGTACATATCCTTATTTGAAAATGTTGTATTTGCATCAAGTACTATGTAGTTCTCTTAACGTTCCAAGTGATAAGGTTCAATAAGTTTGTAAGTCAAAGACTTGCATTAAGCATCAATTAGTCCTTTCTGCATCTTTGATTTTTCTATTAAAGTGATAGCTCAAGTTCAGTGTTTAGTTTATTCCAAAACATTGATACCAGGTTATTCTAAAGCAATGTGTAAATAAGGTACAGTCAAAATATATTCTCCTAGCTACATGGTATGTGCAAATGAATTTAAAGGTCTTGTTTTGACAGACACGGAGGGGCGATGGGGAGGGTATGCGCCACCTACAGTAGGCATGCGCACACCCTGGGGCCCTAGCGGAGGCCTGTACCCCCAAATACTCTTAAAGGGCTGCAAATTCAAGCCCATAAAATTAGCATGGCCCTGATCCAAATAAAAAATAAAAAGGGTTGAGGATGATGTAGTTCAGTGGTACAATATTTCTTGGTTCAATTCCAACTTTAAGTAAAAATGATGTATTTCAAGCACCAGGGTATGCGGCTCAGTGGTAGAGGTCTTAACTACCTGAGGAGGCCTGAGTCTGATCTCCAGGAAAACAACCCACCTCGATGTGATCTATTCATTTAGTTTGTGAAAACATGAAAGTTCTAACTTCAGCTACTTCTGCAAAATCTAGTGCTTCCGTTTTTCTTTCAGTGAGCAACGTTTTTCTTTCAGTGAGCAAAGGGACATGGTGTATATGCTGGAATTCTTCATATTCGATGCTCCAAAACCATTAGTTTTCTTGAATTTTAAGATACTGTATATTAGAACTTAAAAGTATGTTTGGGAGGCTGAACCAGTGGGTCCCCAAGTTCAAACCCAGCTTGGACAGCTTGACTGAAGTATTTAAAAAAAAAAAAAAAAAAAAAAACCTAAACAAACTAGCTCACAATCTTGGGCGCGAAGTCACCCGTTCTCATCTCAGGCTTTAAAATGCCCCACCCTGCGCAGCACGGCGGAGGTGCCTGGCGCGCGGCGACAGCGCTGCGTTGGGTCCCTGCTCTGCTCCCAGAGGGAGCCGGACTGCAGCCCAGCAGGGCCTGGCGAAGGCCGCAGATGCCCGCGGCGCTCACATCAGGCAGCCAGGACCTGGGGAGCTCAGAGCCCACCCGGCTGTGCAGCCAGGATGCGGGCCGCGCCCTGCGCCACACACTGCGCCGCAGGGTTCTCTCCGGACCGGGGCCACCCAGGACCTGCGCTACGCAGGGCCGGCAGGCTCCCCCCGAGGGCCTGGCGTGCGGCCTGAGTCCATCCCGCCCCAGCCCACTCCAGCCCGCCCCGTGCTCCCGGGGTCAGAGCGCGGCCGTAACGGGCACCGCCGGGCCGCGCAGGCCGCGCAGGCCGCGCTCCACATAACGGGCCGCGCCTCACCCAGAATCTCGCGGCGCCGCGCGGCGTGCGGCTGGTCGGTGTAGACCCACTCGAAGTCCTCCCGCGACACGTAGCTCCCCATGGCGGCGGCTGGACCGCGCTCCGGCGGCTAGGGCGGGAGCAGAGAGCGGCGGCTGAGGCTCCGGCTCGGGTCTGGGGGAGGCGCGCGCAGCGGCACCCTAGACGCGGGGGGGCGGAGCCCAGAACCGCCCGTCACGTCAGGCCACGCCCGAGCCATCGCCCCGCCCGAGCAGCGGCCCAGCCTGTGGGCGCCCCACGCGGGCTGCGACTGCGCACTCAGCCCGCCTCCCGGGTCCTGAGCCCTAGCGGCCTTGGCCCCGCCCCTTCTGGCCCCGCCCCCTGCCAGCCCCGCCCGCGGCCTCCAACGCCCTCCGACGGCCGCGGCTGCGCACTCCGGGTACCCCACCCCCGCCCTTGCGTACCGGCTCCGGTGCGGGCGACGGCGCCTCCCACGCAGCCGCCGTCTTCAGCGAGCGCCGCGGGGCGTCGGGAGTCTCCGTCACCGCCCACGGGAAAACGCGGACGGCTCGTCCCGCCGTGACCGTCCCTCCAGCGAGAGCCGCGCGCGCTCTCGCATCGGCAAGTCTGGATGGTCTCGCTTCTCTTGCGCGGCGGCGGGCGGGCGAAGCTGTGAGCACCCGAGCCTCGGAGTAGAGCTGGCGTCTGAGGTGCGGCTCGGCCCGTGGGGTGGGGTTCCGTTTCCAGCGCCAAAAGCAAAGGTACTGAGAAATAAGGAAAGAAATGTTCTCTAGGATTACAGAGACAGACACATGCACGCGCGCACACCGCCTGGAACCCCAGGCTGGCCAGGAGAGCTTGGGCGCGGAGGGTGGCTGGCACCTAGACTGGCGAGGTCCGAGTGGGGGACCCTGCACGACTCCGGGGTTCCCTAAACAAGGAGGGGGAACCATAGATTAACGGGCTGAAAAGACGAATCTAGGAGCAACCAATTGCAATGTGTTGCTCCTACATTCTGACTCAGTCTTAAAAGTTTTTAAAAATAGGTCCCTTGGGGGCTGGGGATTTAGCTCAGCGGCATGAGCGCCTGCTTTGCAAGCAGGCAGTCATGAGTTTGCTCCCCGGTACCGATAAAAGGAAAAAGACAAAAAAAAAAAAAAAAAAAAAAAAAATAGGTCCCTTAATTCAAATACCAAGTGGGTAGGCAAAAGTGCTACATTACGTGCTATGATAGATAGCTTCTTAAATGAGTTCTTACCTTTTAGATTCATGTTAGAAAACAATGTAAAGTAAGACAATCATACAAATTTATGCTATCCCACCACTAGAAATAATGCATCTGTAATCCCAGTCAAGGCCAGCCTGGACTGTGTAGATACTGTCTAAAAAAACAAACAAAAAATATATAAATAAATGAAAATTTCTTAACGAACTATTTGCCTTTCACATCTTCTTATCACTGCTTCAATGACCTAATGAAATCATACCAGTTATTCTGTAAAAACTATTCCCTTTGCTGCTCAGAGACATTAAATCTGAATAATCCTTGATGATATTAGGAAACCTCCAATGAGATCATTCAGACTTTTGCAATCAAGACATTTCCTCTCCATTTGTGTAATATTTTTATTGGCAAATCATTTTATAATTATTTTAATTTGTAATAGGATCTGCTAATCATAGTGAAAGGTACTAACCTGTGCAAAATTTTTCCACTTGAATTCATAGATGAGAAATACAAAAGCATCTTTATCCACTTCAAACCTTCACGCTGGGCGTGGTGGCTCAGGACTGTAATCCCAGCACTTGGGAGGCTGATGTGGGAGGATCCTGGGAGTTCAAGACCAGCTTGGGCTACAAAGTAAGCTCAAAGCCAGCTTGAGCTGCGTATCGAGATCCCCTCAAAAAAAGACAAAAAACAAAAACAAACCTTCATCCCAAGAATTTAATGTCTTCTATTTTTGAACATTAACACCTCCAGTTAGGAATTACTTACTAATAAACATCTCTTGTAGTGTATTACAGGATTGGAAAATTAAAACATTTAAATTTACACTTAAACCATTCACAAATTTGTAATTCTTAGCAAATTTTGGGGTGCCAGAGTACCCTTCTGGAGGTGGTTTCTAGTTTCTGTTCTAAGCAAAGAACTATTCAAGACAAGCACAAATGATAGCAAAGTTTTATTAAAGGTACGTAAAGAAAAAGGCTCTGGAGAGCGAGTTTGGGCCAGGTGAAGCAGGAAAAGAAACCCACCAAACATGATGAAGGCGGCCACCACGCGAGAGAATACAGTGACAAAAACTCGGGGTGGACAGTCCTGTTTGCATCCCCTCTCCTCAGGCTGACTTTAGGTCTGTGCTGTCCTATCAAAAATGTACTCAAATTTGTGTGAGAAGTCCACATGCAGGGCTTTGGGAACTGTGCTCATATGTCCAGAGATCTTTTGTTTTTTTTTCTTTTTTTTTTTGAAACAGGGTCTTGCTGTGCTCTTCAGGTTGGCCATGAGCTCACTTTGCAACCCAGGCTGGTCTCATATTCACAGTGATCCTTCTGCCTCTGCCTCTGGAATGCTGGGATGACAGGTGTGTGCCACCATGCCTGGCTTGTCCTGGGGTTTTGTAAGGAATAGGTCACATCTGCTTTCCCAGGGTGCTCCACCTGGCTCATTGTCCTTGGCCTTGAGGGCCTCCCTGGGTACAACCCCTTGGGGTCGGGAACAGTGCTCCTCTTCTTGCCAGTGTCTTTAGTCCCCCAGGATCTACAGTCTCTGAGTCTGTCATACACAGGCCCACAGCTGTGCTCCTGAACCATGGGGTGCTCTGCAGGGTCCTGTGGATTTGGCCTCAGGCCCAAAGCTGTAGACACTCCCCTAAAGGGTTGCTCACTGACTGCCTTAGGGGCTGGGTGCCAGTGAGGCAGGTGGTCTGGTCATCAGAGGAAGTTGGGCCATCAGGTCTCTGCCTGCCTGCCTCTCATCTGGCCTGGAATGTAGTATTGGGAGAAGAGCAGACTGAAGAAAGAGATTATATGATGGTCTAGAAATGGGGTTTGATATACTTCAGTGTCTAATGGCATTATCTGTGTAAGGTCCAACAGAGGTAAAGTTTCAGAATAAAATGAGAGGCTTTCATAAGGTTGCTGGGGCCAGATTAATGTACAGAAATATTTTGTGTTTTTACACATCAGCAACAACCAGTTAAAATTTGGAATCAGAGAGAAAGATAGCATTTATGAAGAAATAAAAATGTAGCTTGAAACAAATCTTACACAAAAATGGAGGCCTGGCAGGCCAAGCACTAACCCTGTGGGGAAGAGCTGGACAGCCTACAGGGCTCAGGTGGGAGCACAGTACTCTGCCTGTGAGCAGCACCCAGCCCTATGACAGTAACATAGATTGAAATGCATCTGAGATTAAAGAACCTGACCACGTACAGAGATGAGGGCTAAGCATCACAACCACTCCCACAGTCCAGCTAAAAGCAATGCAGTTCAAACTTCCAATGGGTTTTTGGTGGAACTTAATAAACTGATTTTAAAATTTATGTGAAAGAGTAAAAGAATGAAGAACCATCATTACCAACCCAGAGGCAGGCAAGGCAAGGGCACTTACCCTGTGGGATGCTACGCACTTTTAGGCTGCCACCTTCCCAGGCGGACAGGTGCCAAAACTTAGGGCAGCATCACCAGAGGACTTGGGGGCCTGAGGTGGGTGGAAGGGTCAGGGAGAGGCCCCCACTTGTCCCTTCCTTCCCTACTGTGGTGTTCCCGGTGAGCTGAGGGCCCGGACCTGTGCAGGGTAGGGTACTGGTGAGGACATGTCCGTCTATGTCGCTTAGCAGGAGCACATGAATCACACCCACAGAGATGCTCACTTCCCCAGCAGATCACTGCCTTCAAAACCATCGGACCTCGGGAAGGTTTTATGGATTTCCAGGAATCCCTTCTTCACACCCCTGGAAACTTTTCTGAAGGCAGAATGCAAATGGAACAGTCCAAGGAAACCTAGCCCAAGGGAGAACAGCAGGGGTCCACAGGAGCACCCCACTGGGGAGGCTCCCAACTCGGGAACAGTGTCTTCCAGAGGGAGAGTGCTGGGCTTCACATTCCCCACCTGCTGCGCTGGGCAGGGCAAAGGCCAGCAGCCAAGGCCCTGGTGACTCCTGACTCGGATGTGGAATGGAGGCCCCCTGTCCCTCGGTCCAACCTTCTGATTCCTGGACTCAGTGACAGAAGTGGCTTTACCCCCTTGCCACTCCCCCACCATTCCACTTCTGCCTTACAGGCTGCTAAACAGGGGTTGGCACCTCAGAGATTCAGAGCCAAAATAACTTTTCTCCTTTAAGTTACATATAGCAGGTATTTTGTTTCAGGAATGAAAAAATGACTAATATATGATCAAACTGTCTGTTGTTACTGTTATTGTTGTTGTCGTTGTTGAGCTACATCCCCTGTCCCTAATCCGTCCACACAAAACCAAGACATCCAAAGAAACAGGAAGTGTGACAGATACAGTGAAAGTACAGATACAGTGACAGATACAGTGAAAGAGGCCCGGACACTGCTGGGAGACGCCCTGATGCCAGACCTCATGGCATCTCTGAGCTGTGTCCTCTGACTTCTCCAAACTACATATTTAAGGCGAGGAGTCGTCCTTTGTGCCATTCATCAAGAACTAGTGAAAAGGGAACTGTCAGGATCACTATATAAAAACCAGCCCCACAGACAGGCCCACACGGTGGGGGAGATACTACTAGTTTTGAATCCTTAAGAGATCCAGTTCAGGGGATGGAGAAATTCATGGGGGTAGATAGTAGGTTTGGCTGTATAAGTTTGTGGGTACACTTCGTGCCTCTGAATTGTAAGCTTAAAAATGGCTAAAATGAGGGGCTGGGGATTTAGCTCAGCGGCATAAGCACCTGCCTTGCAAGCAGGCAGTCGTGAGTTCGATCCCTGGTACCGATAAAAAAGGAAAAAGACAAAAAAAAAAAAAAAAATGGCTAAAATGGTGTATTTTGTTGGGTATATTTTTACCACAGTAAATAATACTAGCAAATCAGAGAAATACAAAACATTAATTGTGTCAGCAAACACAGAACCAGAGTGCCAGTAGAAAGAAGGATAAAAAGGATGAAACCTATCTAAATTTAATGAAAAACATTAATTATACATATCCAAGGAGCTCAGAGAAGTCCAGGTAGGATGAAGCCAAACGAAGAGCTCCACACCAAGACGCAGCACAATAAAAGGCCAAAGACAAAAGTGAAACCTTAAAAAACAAGAGAAAAGTGACATCGTGGACAGGGATGGGGGCTTGCAGCACAGGCGAGGGCAGCCCGGTGAGGTCCAGGCAGCTGTCCTTCCCCACCTCACACCTCACAGCTGCTTCCCAGCACCCTGTCTGGTGACAGGATAGTCTCACTGGGTGCCACGGACCACCCCCACCCCCGCCCCGGGGCACCCTGATGATGGTGAGGTCCTGGGAGCCGCCCCCCAGGAGCTCGAGGAGGGGCAGGGTTCTCACCCCTCCCCCAGGGGCCGCTCACGAGTCCTCCGTGCACCTCCTGTTGTAGCCAGGGCCAGAAACCCAGTGTGAGCAGAAACAAACCTCTCCTCTTTGGTTTTTCCAGTGCCAGAGAGCAAGCCCAGGGTGCTCTCCCACAGAACTACATCCCCAGCTCTTTCTATTTTTTTAATTTTGAGGCAAGATCTTGCTAAGTTACCTATGTTGGCCTAGGGTAATTTACGTTCTTTCTGTGTCAGCCTCCTGAATAGCTGGCTTTACAGGGGTGCAACACAATGCTCAGCAAAGCTTTCCTTGTTTAAATCGATTTCTCTAAGTACAGTAATGAAAAGCTGACACGTGGCCCCAGACTGTAAACCGGAAACCTAAGACACAGCAAATGAACCCTCCGCCCTTATAAGCTACCTGCTCTGTAGAATCAGTTATCAGCAGAAAACAGACTACTGCAGACAGCATACTCAAAGTACTGAGATAAAAACTTGTCAATCCAGCCAGGCGTGGAGGCACACCCTTATAATCCCAGCACTTGACTGTAATCCCAGCACTGGGGAGGCTGAGGTGGGAGGATCCTTTCGAGTTCGAGACCAGCCTGGGCTACAAAGTGAGCTCAAGGCCTGCCTGAACTGCATAGTGAGACCCCATCTCAAAAAAGACCAAAAAAAAAAAAAAAACCTTGTCAATCCAAGAGAAAGAAAGAAAATGAATAAAGATGGGAAAGGAAGAAGTTAAACTATCATTATTTGCAGATGACATGATACTCTACATGGAAGATTCCAAAACTTCCACTAAAAAACTGCTAAATTTCATAAGCAAATTCAGTAACATAGCTTAACAAAAAGTGAACACTCAAAAATTTCAATAGCCTTCCTGTACACAAATAGCAAACTCACTGAGAGAGAAATCAGGGAAACAATGCCCTTCACAACAGCATCCAAAAAAGTCAATCTAATGAGTGATATAAAAGACTTCTACATTGAAAACTACAGTACTCTGAAACAGGAGATTGAAGAAGATATCAGAAAATGGAGAGATATCTCTGTGCTGTTGGGTAGGAAGAACCAATATAGTGAGAATGGCCACACCTCCAAAACTGTTATACAGATTCAATGCAATCTCAATTAAAATTCCAATAGCATATCTTACAAAATTGGAGAAAACAATCCTAAAACTCATCAGGAACCAGAAGAGATCTAGAATAGCAAAAGCAATCCTGGGCAACAAAGACAGGACAGGTGGCTTCACAATCCTTGACCTGAAATTATACTATAAAGCTACAGTGATAAAAACAGTCTGGAACTGGCATAAAATAGACCCAAAGATAACGGAACAGATTGGAAGATGCAGAAACAACTCCAGACACTAAGCCACTTTATCTTTGACAAAGGGGCCAAACACATTCATGGGAAGAAAGACAGCCTCTAATAAATGGTGCTGGAAAAACTGGCTTGACACATGCCATATCTTTCACCATGTACTAAGTTAAAAGTGGAATGGGTCAATGATCTTAATTGAAAACTGAACCATTAAATCTGTTGGAAGATAGAGTAGGTAACACTCTTGCAAACATTGGTGTAGGCAAAGATTTTATGAATAAAATCCAGGTTGCACAGGAAATACCACAAAGAATAAGCAATTGAGATCTCACCCTAGTGAAAAGCTTTTGCACAGCAAAAGAAACCACTAACAGAGTGAAGAGACAACCCACAACATGGGGAGAATGTTTGCCAGCTGCTGTTCCTCAGACAAAGGATTGCTATAAAAACTCGCTCCTCCAGATTTAAAGACCTAATACAAAAATGGGCATCTGAGATGAACACATGTTTCTCAGATGAAATACAAACACCAAATAAATATGTGAAAAGATGTTCGACATTACTGGTCATTCGAGAGATGCAAATAAAAACAACACTGAGATTCTACCTCACCCCAGAAAGAATGGCTATCATCAAAAAAAAAAAAAAAATCAAGCAATAACAAATTCTGGAAGGCTGTGGGGGAAAATGAACCCTCCTCCACTGTTGGGGGAATGCAGCCTGGTACAACTGGAAAAGTGTGGAGATTCCTCAAAAAACTAGGACTGGAGGTCCCATTCAACCCAGCTATTCCCCTTCTGAGTATCTTCCCCAAAGAATTAAAGACATCACACCACAATGATATATGTATACCCAGTTTATAGCAGCACAGTTTATAACAGCCAGATCTTGGAAACAATCTACATGCACATTGACAGGAATGGATATAAAAGGTGTGGTATTTTTATACAGCCGAGTACTACTCAGCCATAAACAAGAATAAACTGGAGACTTTTATAGGTAAATGGTTGTAACCTGAGAACACACTCATTAGTGAAATAAATAAGATACACATGTGTAAACATTGTATTGTTTCCTTAGTGTGATAAGATGAAAGAAACAACATGTATACATATGTATATAAAAATAGTTAAGATAGTTACACTACTGATTTCTCTGAGTTCACTGAAGAGAAAGATGGGTGCTGGTGTTGCTAGGACAACTGAAGGTAGATGGCCTGTGGTCAGGGTGAATGTTTGGGGGTGACAATGAGCAATGTGTGCATCATTGTTGTCCCCTGATTGACATCTTTTGAAATTCTGTTGTAGTTTTTCCTCCTCCTCCTTCTTTCCTTTTATCTATGAATAAAATAGGTTTGAAAAAAAAAAGACACTTCCAGATGAATAAAAACTGAGAAAAACTATTGCCCAAAGTTCTGGGTACTAAGAACTAGAGAAAAAAGTTCTTCAGGAGACAGCCAGTGGCCGGCATGAACGGCCCTGAGCGCCACCAAGGCCCTGTACGCCAAGGAGGCAGAGACCTCTCCCCCTTCTCCAGTTTAGAAGCCAGCTGTGTGGAACAATCCGTGTGCGATGCCCACGTAGGGTCACCTTGTCGACACAGGAATAGAAAACGTCTAACACGGGGTCAGTGTGTGACTGCAGGAGGGTGAGGAAATGACATCATAGCCACATCCGGCCACAGGAACCACGAAGACAGCCAGTGTGGAGCCCTAAGGCGCCTAAGAGGACTTGCTCGGCTGTAAGGGGACGAAGTTCATGAAAACAACAAAGGGACTCAGCGCCTGCCCAGCAAGCACAGGGTCTTGATTCAGTTTCCAGTACAAAAAAAAAAAAAAAAAAAAAACAGCAAAGAAATTTTTGGAAATTTACAGATACGGAAATAAAACAACAAAACATGAAACAGGGATGAATTAGTGACATAGGTATAAGACCAAATGGTGAAAACTCACAATATTATTGATATGAAGAAGACCTAAATAAATGGAAAGGTATACACCATGCTCATAGAGTTAAGATATAAAATCTACTCAAATGGATCTATAGATTCAATGCAATCATGGTCAAAATCCCTGGTCAAAGTGATTTTCAAACTGGGCCAGGTGGCTTACTGCCATCATCCGGGTCCTTGGGACTCTGAGACTGGAGGATGCTGGGGGTTGCAAGCCAGCCTGGGTTGACCCTGTCTCAGAACAAACAAACAACTTGATTCTCAAATTTAGAAAGAAATGCAAAAGATCTATACTAGCCAAAAGAGTTTTAAGAAAGAAACGAGACGATTTCACAGTACTAAATTTCAGGTTGCCACTCTCCTTGATAGTATGGTGTTGGTGCCTGCATAGATCCATAGGTCCCTCAGCAGGCCATCTGCAGATGGCTCAGTAATTTTGACAAATGGAACTAGGTCATTTAATGGGAAAGGATAGTATTGTTTCAGCACTTGTTGCTGAAAAATTGGGTATTTATATGAAAAACAATAAAACCGCATTTTTTTTTTTTATCAGTACTGAGGATCAAACTCACAACCGCTTGCTTGCAAGGCAAGTGCTTATGCTGCTGAGCTAAATACCCA